ATACCTCAGTCCCGCGTACAACCGGGTCATTGCAAGGCACAGAAAGAAGGCAAATCATCTCTTTTAATTGGTCCAGCAACCCTATGCGATTGGTTCGCTTTACACCGCATAGAATGGTGGGTATAGTGTGTCTCTGGGTCAATGGGAAATGAGGGGAATAACTCAGGGGATGACAGCCTGTGAGTGGAGGATATCACAAGGCGGTATGTGGTGGGACACCTGGGCATGTTACACAGTATGGGCACGACCGTATCTAACAGCGGGGGTTGGAATGTAACCACTTAGACATGACTAGGAAGACAATGAATGTCAGTTTAGGTTAACCGCAGCAAATCTTCATATCCATGGTGCGATGTGCAATGAAAACATTGAGCATTGCATAGGGGTAGACAAATAATGGGGATCAAGAGCCTCGGCAGATGGCGCAGATAAGGTGGTTCGCTGAACGTATGATATGTCCATGCAGCCTGCATTTCTCATCGTAAATTTGCCGCTTACAATTTACTAACAATCTGTCTGCATACATCTCGGCTGCAACTATTCTGTGCTACAAAGCAATCGTTTCTGTGCGCAGGTTTATTCCTCAGTGAAATATGTACTAGGCACTACGGTACCACCACAGTTAGACTAACCTATTTCCAAGTCAATCCAGATGATTGGTCACTTCTAATTCAAATTCTAGCAGGCACCTTTGCCGTTCCGTCACTTATTTCGATAATAGCTGCCTTTTCCTAAGCGCACCTTAGTGCTGTATGACGGATGAACAGCGGGAAATATAGCTACACTCACTCTCGTGAGTAATATGTGGAACAGAACATGTAGTATCAATATAACGAAAGTCGCTAGTCAGTTATTTTCCAGACGAACCAACCTGTGGACACTTGCAACGAAAATTGTTGGGCCTTGCGTTCCGAACTTCCAAAATGCATTCCAAAGCGAGGAAGCGTTGTCTGGTACTTGGGCTCCAGGGAGAATTGTTGATCACTACATCCAATTCTTCAGTCGAATGCACGAACGAATGTGGAATATTGTAAGCAGCAAATGCTTGGTAGCCAAGAGGTAACGCGGTCCCTGTTGTAAACGCTTCATCTTACCTCTGCGTTCTGCCACTCCCAGCCGCATCAAGGGAAAGAGCTCACACCACTGTGCACACAAATGTTCTATTCACAAGTATCAGGTTATGTAAAACTAGTTGTGATTTTAAAAACTCATTGGCCTACTCGACCACACTGAGGTAGATGCTTCCCAGCCCCGCTTACGTCTCTATTAGTCCCAACGCTAACGGCGTCACCCCCACCGCTGGTTTTTAAGGGGAGAATGCTTGAGGATAGGTGACCAATCTAAGGGATTCATTAGTGTTCCTTTGAATCCGTCACACACACATGTGTGTGGCCTTTCAACTGTGCATACAGAGGGCAAACAGGACGGCTTATGTGGTTCTGATATTCACAATGAGCAACACTCACACAGACGTTTGAAGAGAAATTGAGGTCACTTGCAGTACGAATGGAACTCAGGTAGGACGCCAGGTCCATATTAACAGTGAAGCCCCGGTGAGTGAGATGGTAAAGCATCACACTTTTTCGTACGGGACGATACGAATGTGTTCCCATGCTTTTGAGCTCCGGTTACCGTGTGGATACTGGAACCTAGTTAGGAAAATTAATCAAGCGCATGGTAACCTGCATTCTTGCGTCCGGCTTTGAGGCTGTCGTCAGGCTCGGTCTTGACACCTGCGAAATGTCACCACCAATGCACTTTAATATGTAGGCCCAAAGTTGTGCATGATACACTATGATCCCAATGGCTAATAGTGCCACAACGTATGGACAAAGCATACATCCATAATGAAAGAATAGAGGGTAAAAAGGAAGTGCTGAACTGCAGTTATGGGGGTAGAATCTCACATGTTCGCTTTGGCTCACGGTTCTTTGACATGTCCGATAGGTTTTCCAGCCATATGTACTTGTGATCCTGGCGCCCCCAAACAGAGAGTCCAGAGCGTCTGACCGCGGCCAAATGTGAGGTAAATGCCTTCATACTTTTGGTCAAAGTCATTTGTTGGTCACCCTGTCTTCGCTTCCAGCCGACGTCTGTGAGCGCAAAGTTCACAGTGAGGAAAAGGCTCAGCAGACATGCAAAGCTGGTACCCAAACTACCGAAACCTATGCAATAAAATTGTGCGGCTCAGCGGCAGGCAAAGTCTGTCTGATCTGAAAATCCGTCGACGAACATCCCCATTACTAATGTGATATTGTCACCGTACACTAGCAATGCTCCGAAGGCAGCGGCGATCAAAGACGGACAGCTCAACTGTTAATCTCCTTTCCGAGCCTGATAAAGTGATTGCATAGGTTTCACCACCATGCGAGGTGGCATATTCAGTGCGGTGATATGCAGTGCACAATCTTGTTTTTTGAATTGTCAGTCCGTGATCGACGGGCAGGTGGCTTTTGAAAGTGGCAATTTCGAGTTGCACCTCGTGATCTCTGCCCCTTCTCTTCCGTGGCTGAACCATGTCTTGCTATTCGCCGGGGAGCTTTCTTTCTGTGCTGATGGTACACGGGATCGATGTCGATGCACATGTTGATCGAATTATTAGAGGAGTACCACGCTTTCAGGAATTCTCTTCATTTCTGTATTGTTGCTTGAGCTAGAATCTCCGTTTTGTTCCAATGGAAGCTATGTCCCCCCTCATCCACATGCGCTGAGACAAGACGATGCATAATGTTTTCTACAAGCCTTCCGATGCTCTTGTACTCTTGTGGATAGTTTCCTTCCTGTCTGTCTCATATAGTTCATTTCGCAATTATTGTAGTTTATTTTATACAAAATGTTTGTTCGTTCTTGTGCTTGTCGATAGTACTTTGGGTTTGACAGTATTCTTCTCAAGGTAGCGGTTGGCTTGTGAGCGACCACGATGCGGTGTTGTTTGAGCAATCTAGCAGTCACTTCAGATATGTTCTTCAGATACGGCTTGCATTCGGTATCGGATCGGTGTTTTTAGGTTTGTGGTTTAGACATCTGAGGATGAAGCTGCGTGGGCATCCAATGCGCTCAAACGAATCGAATAGGTGTTTCTCTTCTTCCCATTTGGCTTCCGCTGTACTGCAGTGTGTTTCAATCCTGCGAAATAGAGTCCGCACGCAGCTTATTCTGTGGCACTTTGGGTGGTTGCTGTTGAAATGCAACATCTGATCCGTATGTGTGCCTTTCCTATGGACGGATGTTTGAAATACACCATCCTTTGTTCTGGTCACCAACACATCCAAGAATGGGAGCATGTTTTCTGCCTCTAACTCCAGTGTAAACTGAATTTCATCCATTGCACTGTTGAGTAGTTGGTGTGCGAGTGCTACTTCACTGGGTTTGAGTATTACAAACATATCGTCGGCATAGTGTACACATAACAATAGGTTAATAGCTGGCATGACGATCTCGGCGATCAGACCTGATCCTAGTGATCCTATCGGTGCTCGGAGAAGCGATCAACAGGTGAGTAACCAACCTGGGCTACCAGTGTTCCAAATTATTGCAAAGACGGACAGCTTCTGAACGTTTTTTGCACGAGAAGGCCAAGTCTCGCAACCGTAGAGCGGGACCGCTCTCACTATGGCATTGTAAACTCGGACCTTCAAGGACTGACTCAGGTCGCGTCGACGCCTGAGATGGCGGAGATTAGCAAAGGCAACCCGAGCGTTGGAAATCCGTCAACATACCTCATGCGTTAAACCGTTTGCGCTGATAAAGCTTCCATGACAAAGGAACTTTACCACTTTCAGAGAATGATCTGATAGAGTAAGAATGGGACCACCTCCTTGTCAGTCCTGTACGAAGATCTTGCACTTCGAAGAGGCGAAGGTCATTCCAAACCGTCAGGAGGGAGTTACCCGTAGATTCCTGTGAAGTCCCAGAATGCTCGGGTTACATATTTTAGAACAGAAAGGAACCCTGGGTACAGCATTGTCACAAAGAGTATGATGTGCGTGGGTAGTTGGGAGACAAGTGATATTAGACAGAGAGCACAATGATTTCTATAGGAGGTCCTTTGGCCTCAACTAGAGATAGCAATGATAGTGGATAACCACAAATAGGACGACCGAGTGCAGTGTACCGCTTCAGCAGTAACAGCTGGCGTGGAATGTAGTCAGTGAGTGAGATTTGTTATATTAAAGTTTAAAGTAAGAATTCAGATAAACAGGACAGCTGCAATGTACTTCAAAGTGCTCATTTCAGCGTTGGAATCATTATACCTGAGGAAGAATCAGTTGCAAAGCATTTTCAGCTGTTGTTTCGCTTGTGCGAGTTTTCCGTTGATCACTGTAATGAAAGAGCCGAAACAAAGTCCTAATGCTCTCAATACCGTCCGCATTCTTTATCTCGTGGGACTTCGCTATTCAGCATCACTTTCAATAGATCCTGAGGCTCCTAGCTAGACGACGAGTTGGAGCGTTACGATCGTTTGAGACTGACGTCCCGTGCTTCAATCAGGCTAAGGGAAATCCCAGAAACTTTAGTGGGCGATCCGCTGGTTAGAGGGCACGGCATATCAAAGCAGGTCAAAATGATTTTCATGAGCGATTGACTTGTTCATGTGCCATCGTTAGAAACATCTTAGATTCGACTGAAACAGTTCGTCATGTGGTAAAAGATTGATGGGGAAATCAGCCAAGAGACGCCAGAGTGAAGAGAACAGCCATATTTGCGTTCGATGTACCAATGAGCCAACCATTGACATTTTCGGCGAAGAACTCCAGCGTCTGATCAGTGGTGCGGCGAATCGGCACCAATATGAGTGCACTTGTCTCCGAGCGCACCCGGACAGTGCGGCGTCCACGGAACGGGAGATAATGAGGGGACAAACGATGATCAGAGTGCGATATCAAAATCAGACGCACTGGTATGAGTCCAAAACGAAAACATGAATGTGTGGGGCAAATAATAAAGAAGTGGCTGAAGAGGTAACGACATCAAGCAACACATGAAAAGTGTTGACCTACAATGGAAGGCGATGGCGGTAACTCGTGGACAGGCGTTGGTTTTCGGCCGACTCCAGTGAAGAGAGAAGCTAAGGAGGGAAATGGGATCAACAAGAGCAAAATGTGAAAATGAAAAGTGTGCATAAACTAATATGTTACGGAGATAAGTGTAGAAAGATTTTCGATAAAAACAAGGGCAAACATATCGCCGAAAATGGCAAGCGCGAAAGAGTAAAGAAAGCTATTGGATGAGTCATAGTACGCATAAAGGGAGTCAAAGTTCAGGAACAGGAGATGTCAGTAAAAATGTCACGACACACCAGAGAAGTGCTTCGTTCAGGTTGTATGTGATCAGCATTCAACATTGGTTAGGCAACATGAAAACAAAGCTGACAAACATGGATGAAGACAAACTGTTCAGTTCTCCATATATTTCTCAGAACAACAATGTTCGACTTGTTATATGCCTACCGACATCTTATCTCAGCTACCGAGAGCTATGCTTAGTAAAGAGCTTAACAAAATCACTTGCTCTTTGTAACACCGACTGTGTTTGGACTGGGGAAAGCTAACACAACTTGAATCATGATTCAGTTAAAGCAAACCTCAGCCATTTTGATCACCAGGAAGGAACATAAAGTTGGAAATTTTGTGCGGTTGTTTGATTTCAAAACTCCACCACCGACCGCCTATGATAGACGCACGATGATGATAATTGACTGGTAAAAATGACTTGGTGTTTTTACGGCCACGATCTCCTATGAGGCCAGTAATGTGAGACTCGGTTCTGCCGAGCCGTATCGCCATGACAGTGAAAAGATTCAAGTGAACGGATTCACTCAACCGAAAAGGTGAAAAAACCTTAAAACGTGGAATATCATGGTCTTCAGTTGGAACCTGAAGACAAGTCTGACAAAACTACAACATGAGTTACTAGGTACAGCTCGGTTGAACAATTGTCACCCGAGCACCAAACTGTAGTGGATTCAGTTACCGCAACTCACATCGTCGGAATGAAAATAAATAACGACGGTAAGCAAATGAGGTTGAGGGTAAAAAGAATACAAAAAATGGAAGCAAGAAAGAGGTTAGTTAGATTAATCTGGGTGAAATTAAAAAAACAGCTAGTTCCAAAAAATAACAAATGCAGGAATGCCAATGACTGCGCCATGTCTGATACGGTCTCTAACCATTGGTGTGGAACATCCCGAGGGCCCCATCCACGAAGATGGCACGCACCAACCTGGCCAAGTATCTCAGCTAATTGCCTCATGTCTTTATGCAACGTCACAGACTGGCCACTGCGCGGTTTCCTCTAACTCGGATTAGCGACGGCGTACAATGCACCTCCAGGAAGGCGGGCAACCGACAAACGAGGACATGACGTAGCCAAGGTAAGCGGTTGAGCTTTGATAAACACTCGAGTGAGTCACCCGAAGGTTTCTTATCAAACCCCAACTGGTGTACCTCGCATTGCTCAAACGATGTTCCCACCAGATGTGCGCAATACTCCGTAAACACTGCTGATCAAACACAGCCAATCGTTTTATGTCTTCAGTGCGAACTGGCCAGGTCGCTGGCTCGTAGGTTAATACTGGACTTATCGCAGCGTTATGCACCCTAGATTTCACTGAGAGGTCAATATACAGCCGAGTTGCTAGGTGTCGTGCAACAACTAGGACTACAGCTGTCGATGTGGATGGAAGACGATGCAAAGCGCCCTTACTTGATGGTAACAGCAAATACGAATGAAGAATCAGATCAGTTGCAAACGTCAGTGCAACTAGTAACCCAGCGATCAAATAAAGGGGAATCGATATATCAGAGTGAAAGTAAGATGAATGGGAAGAAGGGTGATTAAACGGAATGATAAAAAATACAAAAAAGGATATTTAGCCACGAAATATTCCTACTGTGATTTCAGTCGACACGCAACACAAAGTGACGTGAAGCAGTCAAACTAGGAAAGAAAAGAGAAAAGTGCTAAACACTTTGTTGTTCCAAAACAAGCGCGCCGTGGGAGACGAACTTACTCCCAGGGTTCGATAGCGGGTTCCCAAGCCATGAGGTCACGATTGTAGTAATTGACTGATAATCCTGCGGTGTTCAATGTTGCGATGGAAGGTGGCTGAGAACGAAGCCAGGTGAACCTGAAATCTGTTGACACGAAGGCAGTAAGAAAAAGAGACAACAACAAGTGCATAAGATCGGTTTCTAGTGTCGCGAAGAACAAGGCAGCGCTTACGCAGACCGTTAGCCAATCATCATAATCATCATAACACATAAATTGAAGGTAATCAACCCCTCGGCTATTGTGGCGCAATACAAAAAGATAAGATGTATGGAAAAAACAAGATACGGAACATTACGGGAAATAAAATAAACGTCCAAAACAAATGATATAACCCCAGGTATCATATCATGCACGGAGTGTGCGATTGTGATTGGAGTGGGAAGCTAAGCGAGAGGAGAAGGGAAAAAGAAACAATCGCCACTGTGATCGGCTCTTCGCCATACCAACAAGTGTACCGATGAGCGCTTACTGTTTTTGGAACCTGAGCATGGCAGTCCGGAGGCAAGGACCGATGTCAAATCTGAAATAGGGGCCTTCATTCCTCTTGACCGCGTCATCGCTTGGCCTTCCCTCCTCGTCTATCCACACCCCGGTCGCGCAAAAGCACGACGCGGAAGTCGACGTGCTGGCATGCGGAACACTTGGAGCAGCCATCGGGACCTGGTGCGTGATATAACGCTGACAGGCGGTTCACTCGAGCTTTCTGCACCAAATACACGACGCCGAACGGGCCCATCGCTCACGCTTTGCTCCCATCAGACATGAGCCTAGCTTCGAAAGCAGCGATGATCGAACGTAACTGGCCTCTTTAACTCGGTCGAGTTGATGGGTCAGGTTTGACAACTGTGCAGGAGGGTTGAACGCACAGCTACGTTGCAAACTCTGTCCTTCAGGGCGACCCCACAGGTGGCGGAGATTGCCAAAAGCGCCTTAATCTTTTGCTATACGGTTGGTGAGCTAATCTATTATTCCACAGGCGCTAATACAGCTGTCTGGTTATCGTTAACCGGTACGCAAATTCTGCCCAGTAATTCGAGGAACGCGCTAGTTGACTTACAATCGTGGGCATACGTTAGGGCGAAAGAAGTTCTAAAGCCATAAGGGTTTCATTCATGTTACTTGCTTTTTTTGTCAGCTCAGTGTGCAAAACCCACCGTGACAGGAAGTAAACAGAGGTGTAAAGCACGTGGTCTTGCTAGCATGGAAGGTACAGGTATACCAAGCGGCGAAATGCAAAGACAGGCATATCCCAACACACACAAAATCCACCACTGTGCGACCAGACATAAGCAGTTCCTAGAAAGAACCGCTATGACCTCGCTCTCATTGGCCCTATGGTCCTGACAGGTAAAATGGAGGTTGGGACGATGTTGAAATGCGAAAATAGTCTCCAGAATGCCCCATGTCAACAAAAACAGTGTTGTTTTCCTTAATAAAGTCAAAGAAGCAGTTTCATTTCAGCAGATACCATCCCGGGTCGCATAAAATTTCCGCCTCAGAACAAGGGGCCATAGTACAAGAACCGATGATCAAGGACTAACGGGCTCTTGATAATCTCGACGCGCTGCACCAGTGGGACAGGTCAAACAGCATGCTTTTGGTCGACAGCCGATTTCTCACCAATGCTAACCACAACTGGTTCTTTGATAACTATGGTGGCCTATCCAGCAAGTGGACAGCATGAAAAGATAACTTTAGTTAGGCACACTAACCAGTACACTGGTTCCAGAAGGTTTCCTCTGATAGTGAAGAACAGAGAAGAAACAGCCTGAACCTGCGGCGACAAAGTGCATTGATTCGTGAAAAGTTTGGCTACAGCGCCCACGTAATATTTGCATCGGGCGCTCTGAAAGTGTGATTCGTCTGAAATACATTCGGTTGACTAGGTACAAATTCCATTCACAATGGAGCCACCGGGCGTACGAATAATTCCATTTGCGCTCACTTCGATCGAAAAGCCAGACAGCGAGGAAAAGACACAGAACAGAACTGACCCATCCGTACTGAAGCTAAGTGTAGAAAGTCAAACGGCCTTGAAAATAGTAATATGGAAAGCACAAGATTAAAAGCAACTCTAGTGAATGCACTTCAATGTCACTTGGTCTCATAAATCACAGTAGTTGGTAGCAGCTTTGTGGCAAGGAAGACGATGATGGTAGGACGTTTAAGTTAGTGAATATTGAAAATTGCGAGCTAGTATATATGCATCTGTGTTGCTCCATCGTAATTAGTTCGGGCACGTGATTCCTGAGCATCTGTTATATATTACAGCTGCGCCATAGCTAATCGGGTGCGCGCATGTACCACTGAGTTGTTATATAATGTTCGTGAGTGATCTGGTAATGATGAGACCGCGACGAAAAAAATGAAAAAATGCCCTTCGGAAATGCTGATGAACAGCCACCCATCGGAGGGTATCATATACATGTAATCATATAGCAAGGGGCAATGGAATACAATCACTCTGAGAAGGTGGCGTCAAAGGCCATGTTATGGCCAAATGGAGGCGGAATCAACGGTCAATCAATCTCTACCGGGATCTTGGTTATAAAAGCTGATGATCAGGATCGACATGATATTCCATCTACCGGTGTAGTAAACTATATCGAAAAAGGAATAAAAACGTGGTTAAGAGATTGGTAGATAATAACTACAGGAGCCACATAAGGGCGCGTATAAGATGGGTCGAGAATCCTGTATCACCGTTTGTCATTGGTAACTGACTGTGGTCTCCAAGTTAGATCAATAAAAGCGGTACGTTTGGTATGCGCTAAGTGGTGTGATGAGACGGTTCTGCTAAAAAGTCGTGTTGATGGGATAGCGAATGTAAGATTTCGCCTGCAAAACCTGAATTCAGAGAAGACCGCACTCTGACGGCTTCCTGCGGAGGCATATCGAAGTAATGGAGTTGGCGCAATGAGGCGAACTCCTGAACAACCGGAGCAAGGTCACCGGAGCTGAGGCCACAATGAGCGTTATCATCAAAAGCAAGAATGGGTATTGAGAGGAGAACCCTGAGCAGGACAGTTTACCTACCAATCACTTGGGTCTACCATACAGAAAGCCATACGAGAATGATCGCATCTATCTGTAGTCGGTATAAGGCGTAGGCTTAAGATCACCAAACAAACGTATCCAAATATTGTGGCTAGCATCTTACACCATTCTATAATCGTTTGAGGGGAGTGAAATTGTGAACCGAACCATGTCAGAATACTATTCAAAATGGTAAAGGAAATGGCGAAAGTCCTATTACATCACCACAACATAGTGCAGCTGAAAAGACGCATTTCGAACATTTCACTGCGATGAAATCTAGAAAAGGAGTAAACGAATTAGACAAATGCCAACATGTCAAAGAATGCCAGCGGCATCGCAACGAATAATCTGCTATGCTAGCTGATCAGTAGTGATCACATCCATTCAAACTGCCCAGAAGCAATGGAGGGCGACGCGGAAGGAGAGTTCATATAGGTGGTGCTGGTCGAAACCAAGCGGTTCAACACTGATGAACCGTTTGGAGGTCATGTATGTCAGAAAATGTGTACAGGCGATGTGGCAAACCGGTGAGTTAGCTTGAGAAGAGGAAACGAAGTAGCCGGCCATTGAATACGGAGCTATACTCTAAAGCATTGGCCAGGGAGCGTGGCGGATGAAGACTGACAGTGTGGTCAGAATTGCGCAATATATAACACCCGTCACGTACGCGTCCCAGACCGGAGTATTTCAGACGACAACATGTTAACGGATAAAATTTCCGTTGAGGTTTCGTTGACTGTTAGTGTGAAATGCAGGTAAATGTTCATTGAGTCTATTAGGTTGCTCTGAAATTCCTTCACAATCAAACAAAATAGACGTGGGCAGCAACAGCAGCAGCACAATTCGTCACTCTTTGATTTCCGGGAGGATTAAGGGACACGGGGCTTGCAACGTGTGCGTCGACATGGTCGTCTTGAAAGCGCCTTGAGGTGAATAAATCTTCAGACTGCACAGACCATTCTACATGCAGCAATTCCGTTGAAAGGACTGTTTCGCGTGTGCTCCCAATGCTGGGTGCCTGCGGAAGGCTCGTTGGTGTTTTGTTAGTGGGCCACTCAGTGGAGGCAAAACAGTTGAGCGCGGAACTAGAATACGGCTATTTAGTCGGCAAACATTTGCAGTCACGTTCACAACCATACTACCTGGGTGAAGTGTGTAACTCTAAATCTGAAGCGCGAATCCCAGTCGGCAACCTACAGTATGATCGAAAATAGAGTATGCTAAACGGCCATTCGCAGCGCAAAAGAGAATAACATCGTTCAAATTCGTCGGCTGCTCATCGCATTCCAGATATCAAATCATAGTCTGGATTACTTTATTTCAGTGTGCGTGTGCGTGTGTGTGCCAACACATCAGGCCATAGAGAGATGAATAAGGATAAGTGAAGATGAAGACCAACTATGAGGCACAGTTGACATGTCATTCATTGAGACAGTATAGTCGAAATGTCAGAGAAGAGCAGATGTTTTCCCGATAACGGTTAACTCACATGGAACAGAAAACGAATTGCGGGAAAGATAGTGCGAAAGGCAGGAAAACTGATTACTTGTTTGACAGACCACGTGCGAGTGGAGTGTACATACAAAACGGATCAACGGTGCAGCACAAAAGGCAATCGCATGACCGAATATTTAGCATTCAGGAGAACAGTAATTTGGTACGCGGAAAATGGAGTGCGCTGCAGGTTTTGGATTTGAACGCAATTTGGAAAAAAAGCCACTAATAGAGGACCGATTAGGAAAGAAAAAAAGCAAAATTCTCAAACGGTTACAGATACCACTCATAGAGACAAAATGACAGTGTATGTTTGGTTAACATAAACATGGTCAAGAGTTGACACAACGACCAATCCACATCCAACCGAAGAGGCAAAAGAGACGAAAACGACCTTGGAATTTAATGATGAGAGCCGAAAGTGACAAGATTGGCCCCAGTTAGGGTGAATATGACCTGATTTATTGATAGGAATATGAATCACAGTCCCAATGAGGACTACAAGATGAATCTGAAAATAAAAGGAGTAATTAGATGGCACATTAGGTGA